TAACTGTTACCGTAATGTGTCTGATAACTGTTACCGTAATGTGTCTGATAACTGTTACTGTAGCATGTCTGATAACTGTATTGCTGTAATGTGTCTGATATCTGTATAACCGTAATGTGTCTGATAACTGTTACTGTAATGTGTCTGATAACTGTTACTGTATTGTGTCTGATAACTGTATTACCGTAATATGTCTGGTAACTGTTACTGTAATGTGTCTGATAACTGTTACCGTAATGTGTCTGATAACTGTTACCGTATTGTGTCTGATAACTGTATTACCATAATGTGTCTGATAACTGTATTATTGTAATTTGTCTTGTAACTGTATTACTGTAATGTGTCTTATAACTGTATTACCGTAATATGTCTGATAACTGTTACTGTATTGTGTCTGATAACTGTTACAGTAATGTGTCTGATAACTTTATTAATGTAATGTGTCTGATAACTGTTACCGTAATGTGTCTGATAACTGTATTATTGTAATGTGTCTGATAACTGTTACATTAATGTGTCTGATAACTGTAATATTGTAATGTGTGTGATACCTGTTACCGTAATGTGTCTTGTAACTGTATTACCATAATGTGTCTGATAACTGTTACTGTAATGTGTCTGATAACTGTATTCCTGTAGAATGTCTGATAACTGTAAACGTAATGTGTCTGATAACTGTATTACCGTATTGTGTCTGATAACTGTATTACCGTTATGTGTCTGATAACTGTATTCCTGTAGCATGTCTGATAACTGTATTACTGTAATGTGTCTAATAACTGTTACTGTAATGTGTCTGATAACTGTTACCGTAATGTGTCTGATAACTGTATTCCTGTAGCATGTCTGATAACTGTATTAACGTAACTTGTCTGATAACTGTATAACCGTAATTTGTCTGATAACTGTATTACCGCATTGTGTCTGATAACTGTATTATTGTAATGTGTCTGATAACTGTATTACTGTAGCATGTCTGATAACTGTATTAACGTAACTTGTCTGATAACTGTATTACCGTAATGTGTCTGATAACTGTTACTGTAATGTGTCTGATAACTGTATTACCGTAATGTGTCTGATAACTGTTACCGTAATGGGTCTGATAACTGTTACCGTAATGTGTCTGATAACTGTATTACTGTTATGTTTCATTTAACTGTATAACCGTAATGTGTCTGATAACTGTATTAGTAATAATGATAATAATAATTGGAGGTTCATATATATATATTGCTTTATCACATCCTAGTTCGTAGGTCGTCTCAAAGCGGTTCACATATTATTATCTGTGGTTATATAAGGGCCTTTGCAAAGAGCCAATACATTTCTCAACTCCCTGGGGAGCATACAGCCGGCGCTGCCATTTCGGCGCTAACAGCTAGCATTCAACAATTCTAGCACTGCCCAACCATGTACTCATTTACAGCTGAGTAGACTGGAACAAGCGGGGTAAAGTATCTTGCTCAAGGATACAACACATTGCCGTGCCATTGTGGGAACCTGCAACCCTTCGGTCACGAGCCCGGCGTCCTACCACTGGACTACTGTGCCTCCTACTTGATATCTGTATTACCATAGCATGTCTGATAACAGGCTGTGCTGTAGCATGTTTCATTGCTGTATTGCTGTATTGTTATAATAACTGTATCATGGTAACATTGCTAACTTTGTCTACAGAAGTTCTGATAGGGTTGACTTGTCTCCGTGACCATATCAGTCTTAAAATGTCCTTTAGCTTTGTCTCCAACAGTTTTTCCCCATCTATTTACTACAAAGTTTACAATTGATCTCTGTTTAAAGTCTTCCTGATAGTGAGTCTTTGACAGCCACTTCAGCGGTGTAAAATTGCACTAGCCCGACGCCCGGGGCTACCGGATATTCAGCTGGGGCTAGTTAAATTAAGAAGCTTACTACCTTGGGCTAGTGACTATTTTAGGATGTCATAGCAAACAAAAATGCTCCTGTTCTATTCTATCATCATTAGGGTAACCAATTAAAATTTTAAACCTGTAAATTCCAGGTAATTTCACTACATTTTCTATCAGAACACATGGAGTCTTTCACGCCGCATTGATGATGGAAGATGTTCTGTATAATTGTCTTTCACACGTGTGTTATGTGTGTTAGTAGGCAGTACTAACCACTTAAATAGCATGGAAAGTCTGTACTAACCACCAAAATGGCACTCTTTGTTGCAAATCATTCTCTGTTTTTTTTTTATTTAAGCATGTGGGGAACAAAAATAGAGTTCATCTCTGCAAAAGTCAGCAAGTCTGCCATGTTTGTTTTTCTAATAATGAAACCAGAATCCAGACTGATTTTCAGGAACAGTAAAAAAAAATATGTTATTTTTTATTGGTTCAGTTTTCAATAACTTTTAAGCCATTCAATTATTAAATAATTATACGAAATTGTTTCATTTTTTTGAAGGAAGACATATTCATCTGTGAATGAGATATATATAGACTGTGTGATCATGTTGTCAGCTTGATCCAGTTTGTATTTGTCAGGCTAGCAGAATTTTATTTGGGCTAGTATACTCAAAAATATGTTTACACCGGCCCCTGCACCTTTCTGGTAGTATATGTGACAGCCACCTTACTGTATCTGTGTTTTAGGTAGTATATGTGACAGCCACCTTCCTGTATCTGTTGTAGGTTGTATATGTGACAGCTGCACCTTCCTGTATCTGTTGTAGGTAGTCTATGTGACAGCCACCTTCCTGTATCTGTTGTAGGTAGTATATGTGACAGCCACCTTCCTGTATCTATGTTGTAGGTAGTATATGTGACGGCCACCTTCCTGTATCTGTTGTAGGTAGTATATGTGACAGCAACCTTCCTGTATCTGTTTTAGGTAGTATATATATGTGACAGCCACCTTCCTTTATCTGTTGTAGGTAGTATATGTGACAGCAACCTTCCTGTATCTGTTTTAGGTAGTATATATATGTGATAGCCACCTTCCTGTATCTGTTGTAGGGAGTATATGTGACGGCCACCTTCCCGTATCTGGTGCTGCTGGTTTTACTTGTACGCGGAGTGACATTGCCTGGAGCAGGAGTTGGTATCTATTTCTACCTGGTGCCCGATTGGAACAAACTAGCCACTTTTGAGGTAAAGTTGAGGTTCACCCAACTTTTATTTTAGAAATTCAACCGATGTGTAGGTTTATAAATCATTAGATATATGATTTGAGTAAGGCTTTGTCACAGTAAGCACCTTGACCACCTGCCCCACAAAGTATTTTTAGACACATATATTTCCTTGTAAGCAATTTTTGAATTTTTGACATTTTGTTTAAGTGAACCACATGAAAAGAAATAGTTTTGGTAGAAGAAATATACCGAAATTTTTCTTTTTTCTAAATATAATATTTGTATATCCAGAAGGCTTCAAAAGCTTCCAGCTCTAATCTTATAATTAAAAATAAAATAAAAGACTAAAACAAGGATCCATTCTACATCTTGATGGCGTTAGTTCCGTCTGTGTAATAATGTATTGTGTCCCATCAATACTGATTGGCCAAGTATGTTGGCTTGCATGGGATGAGAAACAACATTTATTTCACAAAAAAAATGTTTGGTAGGGAGTTCATTTCAAGCCCAAATCATGTAGTGTGTTTCTGTAGCTCGTAAAATATACATCAAGAAGTAACATGCACACAGCCATAGATTCAATGACACACATCTTTGTTTGATGTTTTGTTTGCTTATGTATGTGTGAGACAAGTTTGTTATAACCCTCCCCTTGCAATTATGGGGGAGTATATAGTAATCACCTTATCTGTCCGTCCAAGATTCTTGTAAGCACATTTCCTCCCAAACTTGTGTTGGATTTTTCTGTGACTTGACATAGCAAAGTATATCTTATGTAGATGTGCATGATAAGTGGAATTATAGTTTGAATATTTTTCATGGAATTATTGCCCTTGAATGTTTAATTTCTGCTCTAGAAACCTTTTAAGTGCAAGCAGGGGGTATATCTTTGTGAGCTCGCTCACAGTTTTACAAGTTTGCATTTTGATATGTGTTAATAACATTGTACTTTGTGTTTATGGTTTTGGGAGATGTAGCTTTGTTCATGGTTAGGTGTGATATATATTATCATAGTTTTTATGTTAAAGGTTTGGGGAGACGCAGCTGTCCAGATCTTTTACTCCGTGGGTATGGCATGGGGAGGTCTCATCACCATGGCGAGTTACAACAAGTTTCACAACAACGTGTACAGGTAATACATGCCACCTGCAGGTACATTTGCAATAGATTATCCCGTAAAATCAATTGTTTATGTAAGCAGAAAATTCTCAAACAGAGTTGCATCAATTTCATTATGTTATCAATACGGAATCAATAGAATTTGATGCCATACTTAAAACATTATTTGCCTTTTTATACGCCCGTCAAATTTGACAGGAGTATTATGGTATATGGGTTTGTCCGTCCGTCCTGCTTAAACTGTTGTTTGTCCGGCAATCTTCTCCTACATTTTTCGACCAATCTCTTTGAAACTTGGTATACATTACAATCATGATATCAAGTTGTCCCCCCTCCTTAAAAGAATTTTGATTCAACAATTTTGCCAAAAGTTATTGCCCTTTGTTTATTTCAGTATTCGATTTTTGTCCGGCAATCTTCTCCTACATTTTTCAACGGAACTCTTTGAAACTTGGTATACATTACATCATGTTATGAAGTTGTGTCTCCCTTAGGAGAATTTGGTTTCGACGATTTTTGCAAAAGTTAAGGCCTTTTGTTCATTTCAGTATTTTATTTTTTCTCTGGAGATTTTCTCCTACAATTTTAGCTCACCTGGCCTGAAGGTGAGCCGTGAGCTTATGCCGTGGGTCGGCGTTCGGCATCTTCTTCTTAATAACCAAAATGGCTAGGGTACTGAAATTTGGCCAGTAGCATGCTGGGATGAAGGGCTATCAAGTTTGTTCAAATGAATGACCTTGACCCACTTTCAATGTCACAGGGGTCAAATGTCTTAAAATCTTCTTACAACTTCTTCTCAATAACCGTAAGGCCCAGGGTACTGATATTGGGCATGTAGCATGCTGGGATGAAGGGCTACCAAGTTTGTTCAAATGAATTACCTTGACCCACTTTCAAGGTCACATGGGTCAAATGTAAAATCTTCAAACCACTTCTTTTCAATAACCAAGAGGCCAAGGGTACTGATATTGGGCCTGTAGCATGCTGGGATGAAGGACTACCAAGTTTGTTCAAATGAATGACCTTGACCCTCTTTTAACTAATGTCCCTGTTTGACATCCAAGGTCACAGGCATCGATGTTTAAATCTTTAAATAGGTTCTTATGAATCAAACACTGATATTCTGCCTGTAGCTGTATTTTAGTCCACTTTTAAGATTAGTTCTGGTACTATACCAGTGATACCTGTCCTTGTACTACACCAGTGATACTGGTCCTGGTACTACACCAGTGATACCAGTCCTTGTACTATACCAATGATACCAGTCCTGGTACTACACCAGTAATACAAGTCCTGGTACTACACCAGTGATACCAGTCCTGGTACTATACCAGTGATACAAGTCCTGGTACTATATACCACTGATCCCAGTCCTGGTACTATATACCACTGATCCCGGTCCTGATACTCTACCAGTGATACCTGTCCTTGTACTGTACCAGTGATACCAGTCCTGGTACTATACCAGTGATATTGGACCTGGTACTATACCAGTAATACCTGTCCTGGAACTATACCAGTGATACCAGTCCTGTTATTATACAAGTGATACCAGTCCTTGCACTACACCAGTAATACCAGTCCTGGGACTATACCACTGATACCAGTCCTGGTACTATACAAGTGATGCCAGTCCTTGTACTACACCAGTAATACCAGTCCTTGTACTATACCACTGATACCCGTCCTGATACCACACCGGTGATACTGGTCCTGGTACTATATCAGTGATACCAGTCCTGGTACTATACCAGTGATATTGGACCTGGTACTATACCAGTAATACCTGTCCTGGAACTATACCAGTGATACCAGTCCTGTTATTATACAAGTGATACCAGTCCTTGAACTACACCAGTAATACCAGTCCTTGTGCTATACCAGTGATACCAGTCCTTGTACTATACCAATGATACAAGTCCTGGTACTACACCAGTCATACCAGTCCTGGTACTATACAAGTGAGACCAGTCGTGGTACTATATACCACTGATACCGGTCCTGATACTCTACCAGCGATACCTGTCCTGGTACTATACCAGTGATCCCAGTCATGGTACTATACAAGTGATACCTACTATACCAGTGATACCAGTCCTGTTATTATACAAGTGATACCAGTCCTTGCACTACACCAGTAATACCAGTCCTTGTACTATACCACTGATAAAGGTCCTGGTACCACACCTGTGATACTGGTCCTGGTACTATATCCCACTGATACCGGTCCTGGTACTTTACCAGTGATACATGTCCTGGTACTATACCAGTGATACTGGTTCTGGTACTATACCAGTGATACATGTCCTTGTACTACACCATTGATACTGGTCCTGGTACTATACCACTGATGCCGGTCCTGGTGCTTTACCAGTGATACCTGTCCTGGTACTATACCAGTGATACCAGTCCTGGAACTCTACCAGTGATAACTGTCCTTGTACTATACCACTGATACCGGTCCTGGTACCACACCGGTGATACTGGTCCTGGTACTATACCAGTGATACCAGTCCTGGTACTATACAAGTGATACCAGTCCTTGTACTACACCAGTAATACCAGTCCTGGTACTATACCACTGATACCAGTCCTGGTACCACACCGGTGATACTGGTCCTGGTACTATACCACTGATACCGGTCCTGGTACCACACCGGTGATACTGGTCCTGGTACTATACCAGTGATACCAGTCCTGGTACTATACAAGTGATACCAGTCCTTGTACTACACCAGTAATACCAGTCCTGGTACTATACCACTGATACCAGTCCTGGTACCACACCGGTGATACTGGTCCTGGTACTATACCACTGATACCGGTCCTGGTACCACACCGGTGATACTGGTCCTGGTACTATACCAGTGATACCAGTCCTGGTACTATACAAGTGATACCAGTCCTTGTACTACACCAGTAATACCAGTCCTGGTACTATACCACTGATACCAGTCCTGGTACCACACCGGTGATACTGGTCCTGGTACTATACCACTGATACCGGTCCTGGTACCACACCGGTGATACTGGTCCTGGTACTATACCAGTGATACCAGTCCTGGTACGATACAAGTGATACCAGTCCTTGTACTACACCAGTAATACCAGTCCTGGTACTTTACCACTGATACCAGTCCTGGTACCACACCGGTGATACTGGTCCTGGTACTATACCACTGATACCAGTCCTTGTACTACACCAGTAATACCAGTCCTTGTACTATACCAGTGATACTGGTCCTGGTACTATATACCACTGATACCGGTCCTGGTACTATATACCACTGATACCAGTCCTGGTACTATATACCACTGATACCGGTCCTGGTACTTTACCAGTGATACCTGTCCTGGTACTATACCAGTGATATGGGTCCTGGTACTATACCAGTGATACCAGTCCTGGTACTATATACTACTGATACCGGTCCTGGTACTCTACCAGTGATACCTGTCCTGGTACTATACCACTGATACCGGTCCTGGTACCACACCTGGGATACTGGTCCTGGTACTAGACCAGTGATACCAGTCCTGGTACTTTACCACTGATACCAGTCCTGGTACTATACCAGTGATCCCAGTCCTGGTACTATACAAGTGATACCAGTCATTGTACTATACCAGTGATACCTGTACTGGTACTATACAGTGATACCTGTCCTGGTACTATACCACTGATACCGGTCCTGGTACCACACCTGTGATACTGGTCCTGGTACTATACAGGTGATACTGGTCCTGGTACTATACAAGTGATACCAATCCTTGTACTACACCAGTAATACCAGTCCTGGTACTTTACCACTGATACCAGTCCTGGTACTCTATACCAGTGATACCTGTCCTTGTACTACACCAGTGATACCAGTCCTGGTTCTACACCGGAGATACCAGTCCTTGTACTACACCAGTGATACTGGTCCTGGGACTACACCAGTGATACCAGTCCTGGTTCTACACCGGTGATACCTGTCCTGGTACTATACAAGCTACTGGTCCTGGTACTATACCAGTGCTACTGGACCTGGTACTCTACAAGTGATACCAGTCCTTGTACTACACCAGTAATACCAGTCCTTGAACTATACCAGTGATACTGGTCCTGGTACTATACCAGTGATACCGGTCCTGGTACTCTACCAGTGATACCTGTCCTTGTACTACACCAGTGATACTGGTCCTGGTACTATACACTATACCAGTGATACTGGTCCTGGAACTATACAAGTGATACCAGTCCTTGTACTACCCCAGTAATACCAGTCCTTGAACTATACCAGTGATGCTGGTCCTGGTACTATACCAGTGATACCTGTCCTGGTACTATACAGTGATACCTGTCCTGGTACTATACCAGTGATACCGGTCCTGGTACTATACCAGTGATACTTGTACTATACCACTGATACCAGTCCTGTTACTATTCCACTGATACCAGTCCTGGTACTATATACCACTAATACCGGTCCTGGTACCCTACCAGTGATACCTGTCCTTGTACTATACCACTGATACCAGTCCTGTTACTATACCACTGATACCAGTCCTGGTACTATATACCACTGATACCGGTCCTGGTACTTTACCAGGGTACTTTACCAGTGATACTGGTCCTGGTTCTATATACCACAGTGATACCAGTCCTGGTACTACACCAGTGATACTGGTCCTGGTACTATACCAGTGATACCAGTCCTTGTACTATACCAATGATACCAGTCCTGGTACTACACCAGTTATACAAGTCCTGGTACTATACCAGTGATACTGCTCCTGGTACTATATACCACTGATACCAGTCATCGTACTATATACCACTGATTACGGTCCTGGTACTCTACCAGTGATACCAGTCCTGGTACTTTATACCACTGATACCGGTCCTGGTACTCTACCAGTGATACCTGTCCTGGTACTATACCAGTGATATTGGTCCTGGTACTATATACCAGTGATACCAGTCCTGGAACTATATACCACTAATACCGGTCCTGGTACTCTACCAGTGATACCTGTCCTTGTACTATACCACTGATACCGGTCCTGGTACTACACCGGTGATACTGGTCCTGGTACTATACCAGTGATACCAGTCCTGGTACTATACAAGTGATACCAGTCCTTGTACTACACCAGTGATACCAGTCCTGCATGGTACTATACAAGTGATACCAGTCCTTGTACTATACCAGTGATACCAGTCCTGGTACTACACCAGTGATACCAGTCCTGGTACTATACAAGTGATACCAGTCATTGTACTATACCAGTGATACCTGTCCTTGTACTAAACCAGTGATACCAGTCCTGGTACTCTACCAGTGATACCTGTCCTGGTACTACACCAGTGATACCAGTCCTGGTACTATACCAGTGATACTGGTCCTGGTACTACACCAGTGATACCAGTCCTGGTACTATACCAGTGATACCTGTCTTTGTACTACACCAGTGATACCAGTCCTGGTACTACACCTGTGATACCTGTCCTTGTACTACACCAGTGATACCAGTCCTGGTACTATACCAGTGATACTGGTCCTGGTACTACACCAGTGATACCAGTCCTGGTACTTTACCAGTGATACCTGTCCTTGTACTACACCAGTGATACCAGTCCTGGTACTATACCAGTGATACCTGTCCTGGTACTATACCAGTGATACCAGTCCTGGTACTACACCGTTGATACCTATCCTGGTACTATACCAGTGATGCTGGTCCTGGTACTATACCAGTGATACTAGTCCTGGTACTATACCGGTGATACCGGTCCTGGTACTACACCAGTGATACCAGTCCTGGTTCTACACCGGTGATACCTGTCCTGGTACTATACCAGTGATACCAGTCCTGGTACTACACCGGTGATACCAGTCCTGGTACTACACCGGTGATACCTGTCCTGGTACTACACCAGTGATACCAGTCCTGGTTCTACACCGGTGATACCTGTCCTGGTACTATACCAGTGATACCAGTCCTGGTACTACACCGGTGATACCAGTCCTGGTACTACACCGGTGATACCTGTCCTGGTACTACACCAGTGATACCAGTCCTGGTTCTACACCGGTGATACCTGTCCTGGTTCTATACCAGTGATACCAGTCCTGGTACTACACCGGTGATACCTGTCCTGGTACTATACAAGTGATACCAGTCATTGTACTATACCAGTGATACCTGTCCTGGTACTATACAGTGATACCTGTCCTGGTACTATACAGTGATACCAGTCCTGGTACTATACCAGAGTTAAAGGAGCAGGAAGATGCACAGTTAGACTGGTATAACAATGCGAGACCCTCTGAACTGTAGACGGAGGTTCTACCATTAGAGATACCTGGTCACCACTACACCAGTTCCATTACTCCATTACGTACACCATCCATTACACCATACACCAATATACTATCTACCCTCATTTTACCACTAATAGGTCCTGGTACTCTATTATGATCCCTGAATAGGAACTCCCTGTGTTAGTGCTATGTATTCAATCAATTGGGTGTTTTTTTCCCGATTAGCTGGGACCCTTCTGTAGTAAAATCAATGGTGTCCTTTTAAATTTCTGTGCATTATACATGTACATAAAAGAAAATGATTGATTTTCTATCATAAAAGCATTGAGTATCTTGGTTTCTGTATGTTGTTGCTAACTATTACTCATAACTGTTAACAAATGTTTTCTATAATTATTTGAAAATGCAAGCACTTGCTGTTTGAACATTAAAAAATATCACACTATTGTAGTTTATTAATGTTCAAGATGTTTTATTGTGACGTGGTAAATTTGCTCAATGCCATTGCACTTTGAGAAACTCAATATCAAGCTGAATTAGCAGATTTACATTTTGACAAGTGATCTCTATTTCTTCCTGTTTCCTGCTTCAGAAGATATCTCTATTTCTTCCTGTTTTCTGTTTCACAAGTTAGTGATCTTCCTGGTTTAAACAATTGCTGTTACTTGGTCCTAAATATAGACAAGGAAATCCTCCATCTGATTTTTAAAATCTTCCCACTATTAACAATCACTTTATCAACGTTTGATAAACTTACAATATTACATCACCGAAGTAGTATCATGCAATACAGAAACAGGTCTCCCGTCTTTATAAAGGTTTGAAAAAGTGGTAACGGGGAACAACTAAGTGGAGAAATTGATATTTCACGTAGAAGAATGGCCTTGTGAAATCTAAATTTTGTTAAAACTACAATCATGTGGTCATAACAGGCTATATATCTCTAGGTTTATTGTTTGTGTATTTGAAAGGCATCAATATTTGAAGCAGGTCTTACATTTCATATTTGATGCTATAGGTATTAATATTTCATACTTAGTAGAGCTGTACTTATATTTCATATTTGATGCGTTAAGTATTAATATTTCATACTTAGTAGAGCTGCACTTACATTTCATATTTGATGCATTAAGTATTAATATTTCATACTTAGTAGAGCTGTACTTATATTTCATATTTAATGCGTTAAGTTTTAATATTTCATAATTAGTAGAGCTGTACTTATGTTTCATATTTGATGTGTTAAGTATTAATATTTCATACTTAGTAGAGCTGTACTTATATTTCATATTTGATGCGTTAAGTATTAATATTTCATACTTAGTATAGCTGTACTTATATTTCATATTTAATGCGTTAAGTTTTAATATTTCATACTTAGTAGAGCTGTACTTACATTTCATATTTGATGTGTTAAGTATTAATATTTCATACTTAGTAGAGCTGTACTTATATTTCATATTTGATGCATTAAGTATTAATATTTCATACTTAGTAGCGCTGTACTTACATTTCATATTTGATGCGTTAAGTATTAATATTTCATACTTAGTAGAGCTGTACTTACATTTCATATTTGATGCGTTAAGTATTGATATTTCATACTTAGTAGAGCTGTACTTATATTTCATATTTGATGCATTAAGTATAAATATTTCATACTTAGTAAAGCTGTACTTATATTTCATATTTACTATTAAAGTGGAAATGCTTTTGTTTGTTGTGTTGTGTAGATATCCACACATGAGTATTCATTCATAAATATATATATAGTTATATAGAAGTGCTAAAATCATCCAGAGTCCTTGTTATGGTTAAATATAACAGAAATGACACAAAGAGTTTCTTATTACTTCCCTTTACAGGACAACATCACAACACAGAAAATGCTGTATTACTTCATCTTTATCTTCTTAATGTAGACATTTTGAAGGGGCAAAATGTTATTTTCAACTTGTTGAATTTCATATGTAGAACCATTGCCAATGCAATCATTTCCACACCATGATCAGAATAAAAATTCACTACGCAAACATTTCTGCACAAGAGAATTTCTACTTGTACAGTTGTAGATCCAGTATTAATATTTAACATTATGTTACAGAGACGCCATGGTCGTCCCCCTGATCAACTGTGGTACAAGTGTGTTTGCTGGTCTGGTCATCTTCTCTGTGTTAGGATTTATGGCACATGAAACTGGAGTGGACATCGAAAAAGTTGTTAATCAGGGTAAGTTTTTAGCTCCTCTATAGCCAAAAGGGCCCGGAGAGCTTATACCATGGCATGGTGTCTGTTGTCGGTTTAATCTGGCAACATTTCATTTAAAAGACTGCAAGTCTAAAATTAATGTTTGGTACATTTTCATAAAATTTGGCATGAATCACCTTCTAGCCAGTGGAACTCATCATTGTGTTAATAAAGTTTTCAATACATATATATATATGAAGGGATTTTAACCAAATATTGAATGAAAGATCGCGGGACCAAGACTCAATATTGTATAGACAAAGGATTGTGTCTCCTGGGAACATAGAGACAGATTCCGAAAATTAGAAATAGAGGTAAATCTATAAAAGACTACTGTTTCATTTTGGCAAAAAGGGACTTTTATCTAAATTTAATTGCTGGGTATATTAACATAAATTATGTTGACACATATTCAATCCACAGGGATCTAAAGTATCAAAATCTGCCCGGAGGCGTGATACATGCTTTGAAGCTTGTTGGGGAAGGGTCAAATAATTAACTTTAAACCACAATGAAGGTTACAGAGATCAAAATCGTTTACATTTTCAGAGGAATTATGAACCAGGAGTTAAGAAAATAATATCACATGTATTTTCCTGTATCTGGCCGAAATGGAACGCTATCTAAATGAGTTATTTGATCCATATCAAAGGTCGTATCACAAGTGTCCATCATTTCCAATACAAAGAAGTGTTGTTATTTCTGTAGACACAGGGTAAAATGTTGTCTGTAGCTTGTTTGGATGAAACATGTCAAACAATTTACCTTTGTCATACATTACAGAGTTGAGGAACATTATGTGTTGAATATCCTCTATTCACAGATATGAATATTCTCATAATTGTTTGGCTCAGTGCTAGTGAGGAATGTTTTATATAGTCACCATACAAAAGTAGGAACATTTTCATCTGGTTTGTTCAGTAAGGCCTCAGTTTAAATGCTGACATGTCTATTAGGGAAGTCATATATTTGATTCCTAAACATTCACTCAATGTTATTTTACAGGACCAGGGCTGGCATTTGTAGCCTATCCAGAAGCGATATCTAAGTTGCCGATATCTCCACTGTGGGCAGTTCTCTTCTTCTTGATGTTGTTCTTTGTTGGTTTGGATACCCAGGTAAAGTATAACCTCAAAATCAGTGCTTTATTGCAGTCTCATCCACCCAAAACCTAAATACACTGTACTGTAGCCTTGATATGAAAACTTAAACCTGTCTGTAAATATAACATATGTTACAGGTGTGTGTACAACATGTTTATACAGGTGTGTCTACAAATATAACACATGTTACAGGTATGTCTACAAACATAACACATGTTACAGGTGTGTCTACAAACATAACGCATGTTTCAGGTGTGTCTACAAATACAACACATACTACAGGTGTGTCTACAAACATAACACATGTTACAGGTATGTCTACAAACATAACACATGTTACAGGTGTGTCTACAAACATAACACATACTACAGTTGTGTCTACAAACATAACACATGTTACAGGTATGTCTAAAAACATAACACATGTTACAGGTGTGTCTACAAACATAACGCATGTTACAGGTGTTTCTACAAACAACATATGTTACAGGTGTATCTACAAATATAACACCTACTACAGGTGTGTCTACAAACATAACACATGTTACAGGTGTTTCTACAAATATAATACATACTACAGGTGTGTCTACAAACATAACACATGTTACAGGTGTTTCTACAAATATAACACATACTACATGTGTGTCTACAAACATATTACATACTACAGGTGTGTCTACAAACATAACGCATGTTTCAGGTGTGTCTACAAATACAACACATACTACAGGTGTGTCTACAAACATATTACATACTACAGGTGTGTCTACAAACATAACACATGTTACAGGTGTGTCTAAAAACATAACACATACTACAGGTATTTCTACAAATATAACACATACTACAGGTATTTCTACAAATATAACACATTTCACTGGTGTGTATACAAACTTTCATATTTTACAGGTGTTTTTACAAACCATAAACCTGTTACAGGTTTTTCTTCAAACTTCACACATGCTAGACCTTAATATTAATTTTGAATACACAAAATCATACAAGTTATAGGTGTAGCAAACCAAGAAATTGCAAGAAATTATTTTTTGTTCAAACAAAATTTCTGTTGTAATCTTTTTAATCTTTAAGAATAGATAAAACAAACATCAGAAAAATATATAAAAAGTCAGATAATGGAAACAAGAATGTGAAAAGCTGAAACACTTAGGTAGCAATGTGGCTTGTGGAAGTGTTCTCAGTAGCAATGTGGCTTGTGGAAGTGTTCTCAGTAACAATGTGGCTTGTGGCAGTGTTGTCAGTAACAATGTGGCCTGTGGAAGTGTTCTCAGTAACAATGTGGCTTGTGGAAGTGTTCTCAGTAACAATGTGGCCTGTGGAAGTGTTCTCAGTAACAATGTGGCTTGTGGAAGTGTTCTCAGTAACAATGTGGCTTGTGGAAGTGTTCTAAGTAACAATGTGGCTTGTGGCAGTGTTCTCAGTAACAATGTGGCTTGTGGAAGTGTTTTCAGTAACAATGTGGCTTGTGGAAGTGTTCTCAGTAACATTGTGGCCTGTGGAAGTGTTCTCAGTAACAATGTGGCTTATGGAAGTGTTCTCAGTAACAATGTGGCTTGTGGAAGTGTTCTCAGTAACAATGTGGCTTGTGGAAGTGTTGTCAGTAACAATGTGGCCTGTGGAAGTGTTCTCAGTAGAAAACCATTTGTTACTGTGGAACTTGTTGGTGACTGTTAAAAAGGATTCAGCAACTTCTGAGACACCTGGGCAGTCTTAGCTGATCTGAAGAACAACTATATATGGTAAACTGTGTATCTGCTGTCATTTTGTGTCCACATAAAGTATCTAGAAAATGAGGTTACAGTACAGTGTATTCATAAAGGGTAGCGATTCATAACATTTTGGATGCAACTTAAGTATTAATAGATTTGATTTTCGTGTTACTTTGCATTACAAATTGCGTATTATTTAGTAGAGTATCTGCTAACTTAACATGTCACCCCTCCCTAGCTTTGGATGGCATGATCAGCATTGTAACATGTTATACTCATTTTTCAGAGGGAATAATTAGAAAAAGTTGAGATTGAGGCCAAAATTTTGCATGTATACATGTTGACTTCAAAAATTTATTGGAAACAAGAATCAAACTTAATTGTACAATGACACCTCTGTAAGCTGACCAACATTGTACAAAAATAACAGGTTGATGATATTTCGAGATTTCACAGGTACACTTTCTAGTCAAACTGTATCCCCTCAAAACAGATATCTTTTGTCATGATTTACACAGGCTACCTTTAATTTTGATTATCGCGTCAGTAGGTGAAAATATTTTGAAAAATTGGTGTAACATGTGACTAAGTGAGCAGAGGTTAGCTGGGTTAAGTCCTTAACAGTGCATCCTTAATACATATGATGATCCTACCTGTGTTTTATAATGCTACATATACATAAACTCGTCAGAAAATTGTCATCTTGTTACTATCATACATTGGTAAGGATCATTTTAATATTCTGTTCCACATAATAAGCACCCCCCTTTCCAAGGTAAGCATCCCCCATCCTCTTTTTCATCCAACTCCCCGATCTCTTAACCAACTAACTTGAAAAGAAAGTGTCTTTTGTGGCTACTTTTGAGAATTCTGTAAGTAATATTTCAAATCATTTTGAATTTCTCTTAATGCCAAGCAGTGTTCAGACTGATTTTTCCCCACCCATATTTATTTATAGATTATATATACCAACAAAATTTACAGATCACATTTTTCTGATGACAAAATTAGCAAGTGCATTGACTTTGTATGATATTTCCTGTCAAAAGTGCTGATTGTCAGAAACATACTGTTTCCTGTTTGATTTGAAAAATATTATTATGGTGGCATTCTTGAACAATTAGTTAAAACAAATAACAGCTGTCTGAAGTATTTCAAATGATACCCTAAAAGGAGTTCTTGCTACCATTCATATTAAGTGGTATTTTTCCAGAAGTTTAATTCAGCTTACAGTTTTTCTCAGTTTTTTTTTTTATATAATTGCACCTATATCTATGACATAAACTTTTGACATTGAATGTGTATGGAATGTGATGCAAATGTTTCTATATGAATTATATTAACGTGGAATGTATGCTTTCTCTCCATAAACACAGCTATGTGAACCTGGTTAGTTGGCGGCTGGTCTCAGGTAAAACGTATTTGAAAGGGTGTGCAAGTTTGTGAGATTAACAGACCTAAATTACAAAAATGTGAATTCTTAAAATATATTGTTTACTTTTTAGTGCTGACATGAGCAGTTCAATATTTTGTTTAAAATTGGTTTAATTTGAATAAAAATTGGTTTGATTTTACTTTGATCTCCAATGAATGATGATTCGATATGATTATGGTCCGTAGTTTTAGTTAATTGCCAGCTTAGCAACTTTCCCTGGGGAGGCAGCTATGACATGAGAATTTACTAATGGATTCGGATATATATCATAAAACCTTACCATACATTTGAGATATTGTTTCTTCCATAATATAATTAAAGTCACAAAAAGTTTGTTCTTTTCACTTTTCCAGACATGGTATACATAGATTTATCTAAATTTAAAAACAGAAAGAAGCTCAAGTTATGGAAGAAACTTTTGTGATTTGGAATATTAAATTTTTTCCACACAAGCAACTTTATAATACGAATATAATGATGGTATCTGCTACACACATTGCTGAGTCTATTTATTTTATTTTATTTTTTGTTTGGCAAAGATTGCATTCACTATTTGAAAATTGAGACATAGATGTAAATATCTTCTCGTAAATATGATGTCAATGTGAATCCCATGAGATGTGAGATTTCAGCAACAAACAATTTTTTGGTGTTATTTTTCCTAATGAATACAGGCACTCAACCTGTATTTCTATATGAACAGAGAAATCTGTTATTCTCAAAACTCACTTTCTGGCCTTATTTCATTGAAGAAATTCAATACTTTTAAATGACAAGTGGTAAAAATTTCTTTACTCAAAACCAATGTTAGAAATCAAACCATCAAATCTGGAAAAGAAATCCTGTTCAATACTTTTCAGCTATCAACAATTTAAAAAAGATCGGAAAAATGTTCACACTTCCAGAATTTTATTGGGAAGTTAATTAAGTGACCAAATCAGAAAAATGTCTCAGTTGTCCACTTTCATGGGAATCCAAATTAAAGAATATGGAAAGACAACAAATTTCTGGACTACTATTGTACACGAAAGGCGCCACTAGGGAAAAAGACCAAAAGACCATGCGTCATAAACAATGAAAATGATAACTTTTTTTTTTTCAATCGCTCTGTTTAGAAGAAAAGGTTTTCATTCTTTTAATGGATTATAGATTTAGAATAAGACAATGTTTGAGATCATTCTAGAAATTTACAAAAATAACAAATTTACATCAGAGATATAAATTTTACATCTGAGCGAGTCTTTGGTACACGACTATGTTTCTCTTTTAGACCAATCCAGTTCCTTACAGCTGTAACACAGACTCTCTCATATCTAAAATTTTACTTATTTATTCTAAAATATGATGATATTTTTCATCACTTTTCGGACTAAAGCATGATTTTTGGTCTCAAAATTTAGTTATTGGAATCTTTTTTTATTTAGTGTAATACATACTAGTTAATAAATAAGTCTTCGTAGAAAACTGAAAATTGTTTGCATAACATTTTTATTTTTCATTGTGAGAGTTTAAGTTAAGGAAAAATGTAACTAATTGTAAGTTGTCTTATAAACTGGGGCCTGACAATTGAATGAGTTTGTCAGCTCGAGGTATTGCATAAAGTTATTCTAAAACTATGTCTGGAATTTGCTAATATGGAATTCATCTTGCCAGGCAAGGTTTTAGACACCAACTTGTAAGCCTATTTGTAAAGGATATTTTTGATATACTGCATTAATAACTGAGTTAAGTATACTCCGCTGGATATAACATTACATCATTAAACTTCATGACATCATATACCATAAATATATATCATTAATATCATATTTAATAAATTAGACCATTTGACAACACAGAGTATATATCGGCACTCTTGTTATGATTAATATTTAAAATGTGTGATTACTGCACTACGTGTGTAAATATGGAAAGAAAACGAAGTCAATTGTGTTGATCAAAAACCTCACAGGTATTAAATATCAGTCAACTGTGTCAATCTAGGTGCATTTTTGGTTAAAAATGATCAATTATGTCAGTCTTGGGCACTTCACTAAAAAAAAAATTAGTGTTGATCTAGGCACCTAATTGATATTAAAAACAGCTCTTATTAATCTGTATCTTGAAGCTTTTCAACCCAATTACTTGTTGTATACTAACATATGTCATCCCAATCTGAAAATAAATTTGATATTTCAGTGTTGAACAGGACCTGTTCTATATGAGTATCTTTGAGAAGTGTGACCGGTACCTAAGGGACATTTTGGTACTGAGAGGACTATTGTTTTAATGTTTTTTATGTCTAACTGTAAAACTTAAAAAACAAGGGTAGATTAAAATGTCATGTGTAAAATTGAAAAACGTGTCCTGTAGTTCTTAACTTTGAACAGTCATGTAATTATCATAATTCGTCAGCTATTTGTAAAATACAAAGGGTGTATTTTATATAAACTCATTGTAAAACACCAAGATAATATTTTATATAAACTCATTGTAAAACACCAAGATAATATTTTATATAACTCATTGTAAAACACCAAGATAATGTTGTTTTATATAAAGTAATTATGAAATATCAAGATAATGTTGTTTAATATAAACTCATTGTGAAACACCAAGATTATGTTGTTACATATAAAGTCATACTAAAAAAGAAGAGATAAAATGTTATATTTTCAACTTTTTGTAAAAGTACCAATATAATATGTTATATTTTAAACTCTCAGTAAAACACCAAGATAATGTATTTTATATATATATATATATATATAAAAACTTCTTGTAAAACCCTAAGATATCTTTTTTTAATTTATTTTTTAATTTTTAACCCTTTGTAAAATTTCAAGATAATGTGTCCATTTTAAACACTTTTTAAAATGCTAATATAATGTACACTCTTTTAAAACACTTTAATGTATTTAATTTTAAACTCTTATAAAATGCTATCTTTTAAAGTCTTTGTAAAACACCAAGATAATGTTTTTTATTTTAAACTCTTGTAAAACACTATAATAATGTGTCTATTAAAAAGTATTTGTAAAACACCAAGATAATGTATTTAATTTTAAACTCTTGTAAAACACTATAATAATGTGTCTATTAAAAAGTATTTGTAAAACACCAAGATAATGTTTTTTATTTTAAACTCTTGTAAAACACTATAATAATGTGTCTATTAAAAAGTATTTGTAAAACACCAAGATAATGTATTTAATTTTAAACTCTTGTAAAACACTATAATAATGTGTCTATTAAAAAGTATTTGTAAAACACCAAGATAATGTTTTTTATTTTAAACTCTTGTAAAACACTATAATAATGTGTCTATTAAAAAGTATTTGTAAAACACCAAGATAATGTATTTAATTTTAAACTCTTGTAAAACACTATGATAATGTGTCTATTTTAAAGTCTTTGTAAAACACCAAGATAATGTTTTTTATTTTAAACTCTTGTAAAACACTATGATAATGTGTCTATTTTAAAGTCTTTGTAAAACACCAAGATAATGTATTTTATTTTACATTTTTTCCTCAAGGCCTGTGTTTACCGGAGTGATGAGTCCACCGTTCCGAGTGCCACCTGTGAATCCTCGACTGTGTTGTTTCACAGTCAGCCATAAATAGATCTATAATTCTTGTTACCTACGAAACCAAACACAAATAGCATTCAATAACATCTGCCTAGATTTCCTGGTATGTTAGCCTTAGACTTTTTACTGGGGTTGGGTGGGGTGAGGGGAGAATGAAGAAATTATGAAGTGGGTTTTTATATGAATTTTAAGGTAGATCCAGAGACTGATCCAGGGGGTTTAAATTATTTAAAATGAAATTGATTTATTTATACAACATCAGATCTCCTAGCACAGAGATGCTCCATACAAAATAATGTAAAATCATGTTCACCCATAGTTATTAATTAGCCTTTTAAGTAGCCAATAATCCCCGGTTTGGGCCCCACCCTTTCAACCCCTCGAAACTTCCTGAACCTGCACTTGTTTACACTGCATTGGTGCTACAGGTATTTCAAAACTTAAGGTTATTTTTTAAAGTGAGAGTGCCTGTTACATAAGAAAATGCCCACAAATATGAAACATTGAAAATGTTTCAATATTAATTTTGTTTTGTATACAGGAACATGTAAATGTTCACAAGTTCTTATTTGAATGTTTATCTTAATTTCTTGTGGAATCAAAAATTTGATAGTGTTTTTCTTCCTATATTTTCCATAAATTGATTCAAATGTTTTTGAAAGAAAAATAAATGTTATTGATTTTTTTGATTTTTTTTTTTTTAAACTTGTGAAAACAAACAAGCAATACTTTTAATTAACAAAGAATTTTTGAAATACACAATATTTATTCTTCAAAAAGAATTTGATATTATTGATATAATGCATTTTAATTTTTAAAAATGTGCAGATTATCTTTGAACTTGTGAACAAAATGTTAAAACAAATAACTTGCAATAATGTTAAATCAATTTATTGTATTAGATTTTTGTCATAAATTAATTCACTTGAAAATTTAAAATAAGAATGTTTATTTTAAGGTAACTGTCAAATTCATCTTTTCAATAATCAACTTACCTGTATTTCGTGATACGGAAATTAAAGTGGCTTATTGCAAGTTGATTTAGAAATATCAGGAAAATGAAGAAATTGTATGAGCAATGCTCTGAGTGTGAACAGTGCCGGTGAAACATTTAGCTTCCAATTGCAAACTTGAAGCCAAAGGGACATAATCTGTACGATGGAATTTTAATTTGAACTGCTTTAAATGCTACTCTACATTATTTGGTGTTGGGCTATGACAGATCAGCAGAAAAACTTACGTTGTTGCACTCTTACCAATACTTACCATTTAAATATTTATTTCAGACCGGAGATAATTAGACCGGAATGAATTATCTCCCCTTCTTTTAAGTTTGTTAAATAGAATATACAAGTACTTGGTAAACCTTCCAGTATGACAAACTAATTGTTTATCATGCAAAGTCTTCATAGCACCAACAAAATAACATTTTAAAGATAACTTTGAAAGATGTTTCTTTCTGATGATTTCAGGAAAACTCCAGATTATGTGTCTTTAGGTGATGAAACGAAATTTACATCATTAATTGTAAGCTTCAAAAAAATTTCAGTTTAGTTTTTTTCCTGGTATTTCAATATTTAATCTCACATTTTCCCATAAACAGCATTTGTGTCTTGATAAACAATTTTATAAATTTACCTTTGGAATATTTTAGTTTGGAATGTTTGAAACCATGACCAGTGCTTTCGTAGACGAGTTTCCAGATCTACTGAAAAACAGGAAGGCCCTCTTTACTGCTTTCATGTGCTTCATCGAATTTTTATTAGGAGTCCCCTGTGTGATGCAGGTCAGTATATTAAGTGGTTAGAGTTTAGTTCATATAAAGTAGGCTACGAGTATGACTGGATATGGAAGGTAGGAATAGTTACATATGTATACTAGGATAGCTTTGCCTTTTATTTTATCCAATTGTTTACAAACACAATTTGTTGAAGTGAAATAAAATGCCCTTAGTTATTACGTGTATATTCCCAATAGATTATTGACTTGACAATGAATGTGTATGATCTCATTTTAACATTGTAGGGAGGTCATATGACCTCTATATAACCATGACATTATAGGGAGGTGTTGATGACCTCTATATAACGTAGACATTGTACGGAGGTGTTAATGACCTCTATATAACCTTTACAATGTAGGGAGTGGTATATGACCTCTTTATAACCTTGACATTACAGGGAGGTGTATATGACCTCTATATAACCTTGACACTGTAGGGGGTATATGACCTCTATATAACCCTGACATTGTACAGAGGTGGATATGACTTCTATCTAACCTTGACACAATAGGGAGGTTTATATGACCTCTATATAACATTGACACTGTGGCGATGTATATGACCTCTATTTAACCTTGACATTAAAGGGAGATGTATATGACCTCTATATAACTTTGACATTGTAGAGAGGTGTTGATGACCTCTATATAACCTTAACATTGTAGAGAGGTGTTGATGACCTCTATATAACCTTGACATTGTACAGAGGTGTAAATGACCTCTATATAACCTTGACATTGTAGGGAGGTGTTGATGACCTCTATATAACCATGACATTATAGGGAGGTGTATTTGACCTCTATATAACCTTGACACTGTAAGGAGGTGTATGACCTCTATATAACCTCGACACTGTAGGGATGTATCTGACCTCTATACAACCTTCACATTGTAGGGAGGTGTATATGACCTCTATATAACCTTGACATTAAAGGGAGATGTATATGACCTCTATATAACCTTGATACTGTAGGGAGGTGTTGATGACCTCTATATAACCATGACATTATAGGGAGGTGTATTTGACCTCTATATAACCTTGACACTGTAAGGATGTATATATAAAACCTTGACACTGTAGGGAGGTATATGACCTCTATATAACCTTGACATTGTAGGGAGGTGTATATGACCTCTATATAACCTTGCCATTATAGGGATGTATATGACTTCTATATAACCTTGAGTCTGTAGGGAGGTATATGACCTCTATATAACCTTGACACTGTAGGGAGGTATATGACCTCTATATAACGTTGACACTGAAGGGAGGTATATGACCTCTATATAACCTTGACACTGTAAAGAGATATGACCTCTTTATGACATTGACACTGTAGGGAGGTGTATATGACCTCTATATGACCTCTATATAACCTTGACACTGTAAGGAGATATATGACCTCTATATAACATTGACACTGTAGGGAGGTGTATATGACCTCTATATGACCTCTATGTAACCTTGACGTTGTAGGGAGGTGTGTACGTGCTACAGATCATGGATTGGTATTGCTCCACCTTTTCACTGATGATCCTCTCCCTAACTGAGTGTATTGTCATCGGCTGGATCTATGGTAATGAAACTGAATTATTATAACATTGTTATGCTTTTAAATCATTTTAAAATTTTGACCTTGCTGCATCTGTCAAAGTCATAGGGTTAATTACATGCAAGCCTCATAATCTCGGATTGTATTAGACCTTTGATCAGCAATATGTTGTATGCTTTTCAAATTCAAAATGTTATTAAGACCTCTATATAATGCTTGGTTAATATGCCTGGTATCAACAAGAACAGATTTCATGACTGATTTACATTATAATCCCAAAAATGAAATATGATGCTAAATGTCAGTTAGCTGCATGTGTAAGGTATAATGGACAAAAAGAATGTGACAAATATCAGTTGTACAGGATTGATATATCTGTGTGACAAATGATGAGTCCCTAATTTGTAGAATTAAATGGTTCTTTTGAAGTTTAATTAATTAATTTTATCACAAACCACTCGAGGATTTCTGACAATAACTTAAGAGGCTGTACAAAAGGAATGTAAAATGAGTAAACGAATGGTGGATTGTTTGGTTTTACATGTCTTTGTGAAATGTATAACTTTCAGGGGCAGACCGTTTCTACAAGGACCTGGAGATGATGATTGGGTACCAGCCGTGTGCCTGGTGGAAGATCTGCTGGTGTTTTGTCACTCCGACCTTGATCCTGGTAAGCTGTTAAACTGGTGAATGTCAAAGCTGTTAAACTGGTGAATGTCAAATTAACTATTACATGCATATCTTGTGTCTTCAATTTTTCGGAAAATAGCAAAATTAATTTTCAGCTTCAGATGACCAACTAAGCTCACCTTTAGACCAACTTCTTCTGGCCACTGTTGTTTGGCCCTAAATGACTCAAAATGTCAATTTACATAGTGGGGAGGTATATGACCTCTATATAACCTTGACAGTGTAGGGAGTGGTATATGACCTCTATATAACCTTGACATTAAAGGAAGGTGTATATGACCTCTATATAACCTTGACATTATAGGGAGTTGTCCCCTCAAAGGGGGCCACATAATTTATCTAATGGTTATGTACTTGTACCAATCAACTAAAAACCCCACAATGGGAGCCATAATAGTCAAATTTTGAAAGGAGTCAACATGTTGACTGTCTTTACATTGTAATGCCAATATAGCAAAAGATCGTGCCAACAATTTGTAAATTTTAAATGTCAATTACACTGCAGAGATTTTACCCCATACCTCCTTTCAGTTTATATGGCTGTTCAGCGTGACCCAGCTGAGCCCTGTGACGTACGGTACCTACCACTACCCACAGTGGGCCATAGCTCTCGGATGGTTCCTCGGAATGCTGTCTCTGGCTCCCATTCCTACTTGTGCAATCATTGCAATTTTACAGGAGAAAGGGCCACTGATGTTGGTAAGAAAAGGATGTTATGTTTTAAACTTCCTCGGCATAAAGCCTAACATGAGCTTTTTCATTAAACTGTTACTTGCTGGAGTGAATAGTTATCTAATGGTGTGATTAATCTACCTGCCCTATGTCAATGATGTCACAAATGTAATTAAAGTTTAGAGCATTTCTTTGGGACATTATGGAAGGAATTTTTTTATGAGAGTTTGAATGAGAAGTTTAAGATGTGGTTTTGTGTGCCTGTGAGGTACTGTCTTATTAACTAGAAATATGATCCTTTAGGTCGGTAATAGACTCATATAAATAAAACAAAAGGGCATCAACGGTGGTGAAATATATGAAATATTGTAAATAATGACAAACATTTTGAATTTGTCATACATTTATCTTCACAAAGATTTTTATTTTCAGATTCATTTTATATAAAATACAAATGATTTTGAGAACCTTTTCTTTATTGTTATTGAGCAAGATAGAAAATTGTGTATTATTAGCTCACCCGGTTCGATAAACGAAGGTGAGCCTTAACATGCCATACTGTGGCGGCCGTCGTATGTCGTCTGTCGTCCGTATGTCAACAATTTCTTCAAACGACTTCTTCTTAACCACTGAATGGAATTTAACTCAATTTGACTGGAAGCATCCCTGGGCGGTGGGGATTCAAAATTGTACAAATGGTTGGGCTGTCCCCCATGGGGCTGAGAGGTGGGGCTGAAAGGGGGCAATTTGGCTTTATTGCTATAAACGACTTCTTCTGTAGAACTATGCACTGGATATCAATCATATTTGATTGGAAGCATTTATGGGAGGTGGAAATTCAAAATTGTACAAATGGTGGGGCTAACCCCCCCCCCGGGCTAAGGGGTGGGGCCAAAAATAATGTATTACTTGTGAATGGTGGAGATCTTCACCCTATAACAACATATATATAATTGCTGAGTGTAAAGAGAAGAATGCACATATGCGTCCAGGATGGCCCTGGGGTCTGGCCCCACTCTTGGATCTTGGAGACATAACTTTGAAATGGTTGAGATCCCCACCCCAAAACTATATAAACAAGTGCTGGGCATAATGAGACAAATGCAGTCATGATATTAGAATAGACCCTGGGGTCTGACCGAACCCCTAGGGACCTAGTTTCTGACCCACAGCTTGGAAACAGGTGAGATCCTCACCTTTTAACCATATATACAATTGCTGAGTATAAAGAGACAAATGCAGTCATGATATTAGAATAGACCCTGGGGTCCGGCCAAACCCCTAGGGACCTAGTTTCTGAGTCACAGCTTGGAAACAGTTGAGATCCCCACCCCATTACCATTCATAAAATTGCTGGGCATGAAAAATCTAATACGGATATGCTACAAGGATTGGCCTTGGGATGTGGCCCATTCCCTGGGATCTTATTTGGAGATTATTTTGACATGATTGCTTAGATATCCAGGTGAGCTACACAGGCCCTCTGGGCCTCTTGTTAACATTATAACTTGTTTATAGAACAAGATAGCTTTGCCTACAAACAAACATTCCCTTATAACTGTTTCTGTCTACCATCAATGTTCATTTTATTATTTATACTTCAGAGAGTGAAGAAACTGACAAAGCCAGCTGAAAACTTCGGTCCTGCCATGCCAAAATACCAGGAAATGTATTTGGAATCTCTAGAGAAGAGGGAGTCCTTTTTACCTACCATTGACGTTAAGTGTCGGCTGACGAGAAGGAAAACTGAAAGTGTCGAAGCATCTTCAGAATCTCTGAGTTTTATCAGTTAAACATTGAAACAAGCTAACCAAACTAGATTCTGTAGATTGCTTATATTTTGAATATTTGTTTTGCATTAAGTTGCTTAAAGCAATGATTGCAAATTCAAGTGTTCTCAGTGATTGTTTTGGTTCTTGTTTTCTTTCCTTTTTTGGAATCATACACTGAAATGCAACATTATCTCTTCTTGAAGAAGCTTGGAAACATCAATTTGTCATCTTGTACCTACATAATTGTAAGAAATATACAGTATTTAGTTCCTGTCGCTTTACTGGCACTGATAGTGTGGCACTTATATATACTGTGGCACTGACAAATAGTGTGTCACTGATAATGTGGCACTTATATATACTGTGGCACTTATATATAATGTGGCACTAATATATAACGTGGCACTGATAAATAGTGTGGCACTAATATATAATGTGGCACTGATAAATAGTGTGGCACTTTTTAATAATGTGGCACTAATATATACTGTGGCACTTATATATAATGTGGCACTGATAAATAGTGTGGCACTTATTAATAATGTGGCACTAATATATACTGTGGCACTTATTAATAATGTGGCACTAATATATAATGTGGCACTTATATAATGTGGCACTTATATAATGTGGCACTTATATAATGTGGCACTGATAAATAGTGTGGCACTGATAATGTGGCACTTATTAATAATGTGGCACTAATATATACTGACACTTATATAATGTGGCACTGATAAATAGAGTGGCACTGATAATGTGGCACTTATATATAATGTGGCACTAAAATAGTATGGCACTGATAATGTGGCACTCATATATAATGAGGCACTGACAAATAGTGTGTCACTGATAATGTGGCACTTATTAATAATGTGGCACTAATATATACTGTGGCACTTATTAATAATGTGGCACTAATATATAATGTGGCACTAAAATAGTATGGCACTGATAATGTGGCACTCATATATAATGAGGCACTGTCAAATAGTGTGTCACTGATAATGTGTCACTTATTAATAATGTGGCACTAATATATGCTGTGGCACTTATATGATGTGGCACTGATAAATAGTGTGGCACTGATAATGTGGCACTTATATATAATATGGCACTGATATATAATGTGGCACTGACAAATAGTGTGTCACTGATAATTTGGCACTTATTAATAATGTGGCAATAATATATAATGTGGCACTGATAAATAGTGTGGCACTTATGTATAATGTGGCACTTATGTATAATGTGGCACTAAAATAGTATGGCACTGATAATGTGGCACTTATATATAATATGGCACTGATATATAATGTGGCACTGATATATAATGTGGGACTAATATATACTGACACTTTTATAATGTGGCACTGATATATAATGTGGCACTGACAAATAGTGTGTCACTGATAATGTGGCACTTATTAATAATGTGGCAATAATATATAATGTGGCACTTATATGATGTGGCACTGATAAATAGTGTGGCACTTATGTATAATGTGGCACTTATGTATAATGTGGCACTAAAATAGTATGGCACTGATAATGTGGCACTTATATATAATGTGGCACTAATATATACTGACACTTATATAATGTGGCACTGATATATAATGTGGCACTGACAAATAGTGTACACTGATAATGTGGCACTAATATATACTGTGGCACTTATATAATGTGGCACTGATAAATAGTGTGGCACTTATGTATTGTGTGGCACTGATAAATAGTGTGGTACTGATATAAACTGTGGCACTGATAAATAGTGTGGTACTGATAATGTGGCACTGATATATAATGTGGCACTGATAGTGTTCAAGGTTTACTATGCATTGTACTGAAACCTTCAACTGACAACTTAATGAAACAATTTATTCGTAGGAATCAGTCGAGTTTGAAGTTGTACAGAATCAAGAGTATGTTTTAATGGGTTAGTCATTTGTCAAAGGATTAGCCTCAACTGTATGGGGTATATTCTAACATGGGTAACAAAGTAATGAAAACTTGAATGATTTCTGCTTTATGTTTATATGCATTCCAGTGCAGTCAAACCTCTGGCAATCCGGACACTCAGTCAATGATTGGATTTCAACAACAGTTAGTGTACTCAATGGTTTAGATTTCTGAACCCAGTCGAGTTTTGTCAAGAACAGATGAATATGTGCCCTTTGAAAATTTGTCAATGCATCAAATGCCTAAATCAAACTTTTTGGTCAAATTTCACAGGCATTACTCTCTCTAAGCACAAAATAACAAACCCTGACACCAGACAATATATTGTGAAAACATGTATTATTGAGGGCCATCTACACGCTGTACACTTAAGAGATGTTTACCTTGAAATAGACTTGTAGTCCGGATCAATGAAGTCTGACTGTATATAGTTTAAACGTTATATTGTTATTTATGGTAGTTGGAAATTAAGATGTGCAGCATTGAGATTCACATCAAGAGCTTTAGACTGTTTCCTAAGAATAGGAATTCTTGTCATCAGTCTAAATCAGCTGTTCTCACTTCTGATGCAATGTATCAAAGCTGATTATTACCCAATAGTCTATATAAATTAGAGTTAGTCATTTTTGACTGTTTCTGGCTTTTTGTCCAATTTCCGCTGTAGGGGTGAAACAGTTAAAACTGTTTTCCCGGTCAGAGCGAACTGTTACCCGGCACAAAATCGATGCACAGAAATCTCCCCTTGAGAGCCCCATTCAAGCATTTATTTGACCTCAGCATTGATACTAAAATATCTATTTGGTAATAAAACAATTGTTTCAATGCTATTAGGGAAACAGTCAAAACTACCATCCTATGAAACAATTGTATACTGTGGGTATCTGTTAATCTCACTGACTCACAGGCTTATTCTTGTCAACTTCCATCTGCAAAATCTACTATAACAAAGAAAACTGAAGGATGTTATTATTTTTTATACAATATATATGTTTATATAATTAATATTTGGGAGGAGCATGGAGACCAAGCTCTGATAAAGCATGGTTACAACTCCTGTCTTTACTACAAATAGGGAAGTAGACCTTAAGCACAATCTGGTACCCGGTAATCATTTCACAGATAACATATTACCATAGACACATACATCAGCTCTCACCTCTCTGCTATCCCTGTCTACAGGAGTTGTAAGGCCTATATTGGCCCTAATTTCTAGAAATGTGAATTTTAGAATTACTTTTTGAACTTTGGTAAAATATTTTACACACACCTGATTTATGCACCTTGGTGACAGAGTATGAGCCGCGACCAGTAAATGATGTGTGATTGTCCCTATGTTACAGCTCTCTGAACGTAGAGGTACTCGATCACAGGTATACGGAGGGTAGTAGACAAGTTCTCTGTGAGCACGGTGTAGGTGCTAAGGGCAGATACCATCAGACATTCAGTGGACTTAGAGAAGTGAAATTTATGTAAGTTTTGGGTAAATGAGAAAAAGCTATTTTTTATATAAAAAATCCTGGGAAATATTTTCACATTGTTTCGATTATCTTAAAACGGCAAAAAATGTCAGAAGAGTTAACTTGTTATTTATTCATTTGATATGTAATAGTGACACTTTTTTCAATTAGAAAAATACTGTATTATCTTTGACATACATCATAAACAAGTGCTGTAATAGGTTTATAAGTCTGCCAAACAGGATCATGATACAATCTTGAGTCCAAATTTCCAAGGTTGGTAAACCAAATAGTTGTTGTAGCAGTCATTCTGATGAAATAGTCCATATCTTCAATATGTGCCTGTTCACTTATGTAAAGAGGCTTTTTAATTTGGAACTCAAAATCTATTTAAAACATTCAAATTTTAACCGAAATCATTTTTTTCATTATCTTATTGCCAGGCAAATGGATCTAAATAAAGACACCACAAAAGCAATTATGATAGGGTGCACTGGTGCATGCATGAACATTTTATACCAGTGTGTCCCGTGACGAATGCTGTGTAAATAGCTGTTTTACAATGTACATGCATGTACATTTTATACCAGTGTGTCCCGTGACGAATGCTGTGTAAATAGCTGTTTTACAATGTACATGGATGTACACCCAGCCAGTTAATTACCTTAGTGAGTTTCCTCAAGTGAAGTAGTGTATCATTACTTTACAGTTGTATTGTTGTATATAATTCTATATACTGATGGCTATATATATATAGCTGTTGTTTATAATGATGGCTATATATATATATATATATAAAGCTGTTGTATATAATGATGGCTATATATATATATAGCTGCTGTATTATATAGTGATAGCTATATATATATAGCTGTTGTATATAATATGTATATTTATTACATTTTTGCCAGTGAAATATCAGATTCTATCAACTTGATAAAACTGATATCTTTCACACTGTGACAAATATCAAAAGTGATATTTTCGCAGTGTGAAAATATCACTTTTTGGTATTGACCAATCATAACGGTATCTGCTATTCACTGCATTTAAAGGCAACAATTTTGTTCAGATTCAAATGAAGCGACGGTAGAATAAGTGGTTGTTATGGTAAATGTTTGGTACACACACTTAAGTATTTACATAAATATACAATTAATAACATTTTAATAAGCAATCATACCAGAAAATAGCAGAAAATATCTGAATCTTGTTGAATTTCCCAATCAAAATGATGCGCCGCCTTGTTGTCTAGCGGATTCCCGCCCTTTTATAATGCATTACATTTTTCATGTTTTATGCTTTAAAAATGTAATAAATAGAAAATTAAATGGTGTCTTCAGTAATAACAAATTTATTTTACTCGTGTGGCTAATATTTTGATATTTTTTACTCGTGCTGTGCACTCGTGAAAAATATCAAAATATTAGCCACACGAGTAAAATAAATTTGTTATTACTGAAGACACCATTAAATATCCTCTATATATAATGATGGCTATATATATAGCTGTTGTATATAATTCTATATAAGGATGGCTATACATTGTATATATAGCTGTTGTATATAATTCTTTATAATGATGGCTATATGTATAGCTGTTGTATATAATGATGGCTATATATATAGCTGTTGTATAATTCTATTTAATGATGGCTATATATATAGCTGTTGTATATATATATATTTATATAATGATGGCTATATATATAGCTGTTGTGTATATATATATGTATATAACAATGGCTATACAATGTATATATAGCTGTTGTATATATATATTTATATAATGATGGCTATATATATGGCTGTTGTGTATATATAAATATAACGATGGCTATACAATATATATATAGCTGTCTGTTGTTGTGTGCCATACTGTTGTAATAGGTCTTGATTTTACAACCAAGTGTGTAATTTTAGATATTTGATAATAACAAAAATAATATTGCGTGTTTTTTTCTTTGTTATCTAATTACCTGTATAGAAAACCTCTGTACATCAAACCTAAATACCTAGTTACAAAGGGGCCACAGGTGAAGGTCTGGTTTGTGAAGGTTTCACATTATACAGGGTCTGATTTGGACAGGTTGTACTGTCCTGTACATGTATGGTGTCATTCACAGAATATTTCACTTTGGGTATGTTGACCATTATTTTAACTGTAACATTCTGTGAAAATCTTGAATACCTTGTTCATAAAATTGTAGAATTGCTGTTATGTGTATATATGATTGTGTTCGATGTAACGTGAAAAGCATGCTACTGTACAATGTCGGTGGCTTAGTCTTAATACTGTATCTGTCC